GTTCATAAAATGTTTTCAAAAATAATTAAACAAATATTTTAATATCTTATAATAGTATATTTTGAAATTATAATTTTGAATACTGCAGAAAGATCAAAGAGACTACGAATATTTTTTTTATTTCAGATTTTTTTATCTAAAAGCATAATATTTTGAAGTGAAGTTCCTACATTTTTTCATACATATCATAACGACAAGTCACTATAATTATACTAGCTTCGATCTATTATACAAATGCCAAAAATATGACAACGTTTTAAAATAAAATAAAATATATCATTCTGAAAAAAATCACATCTATAAGAAAGAACACGTGTATATAGGTATAATTGTATATAGAAATATGTGAACTCGTTATTTGCAGTTATTGAGAAATTGGCATTTCAAGAATAGGAAAGAACTTCTTAAACCGATCGTTACAGTTACGCGAACGATGCTTTCGCGCGAGAATTTATTAGCATTATTCGTAAATTTATTAAAATTATGTAATGATCTACGGTGAAAGAATGTTGACAAAAAATTTGACACGCATGCGATGATAAGGATTGCCTTATAAGAAAAAATGCGGAATAAATAGAACGCGGCTGGACCAGTTCGCAAACGTCAGACAGTGTTTTGCCACAAACCACGGTAGATAAAATCAACCGCAGTAAAATTTGACGACAACACTTCGTGGAATTATCAAATCGATTTTCAACGCGTTAGAACACTGTTAGAACATGAGGCAATAGCGAGAGAGAGAAACTCACATCGTTCTATCTGAATTACGTTTAGCTGCAGTGAAAATCTTGATAAAAGCGAACTTTCAGCGAATTTTGCTGCGTTAAATGTCATTAGAGAAAATTAGAATTGATTGAGTAACTGCTATACTTGTTTTAATTAATATACTTGTTTCGACAATGAAATTAATTTATAGTTGTTTCGAAAGAAAGATTATAACATTTATCGAATTTTATTCTATTAATTTTTATACATATTATTAATTATTATATTTTTTTATTAATTATATTAATTATTATACATATTTTATTTTTATTAAATATTTTATTTTGATATGCTTGACATTAAAATTTATAAATTGTAAACGTTATGTCAAAACGAAAAATTGATAATATTTTGTGGCGTTGATTCGAGCATCAGTTATCTATTATATTATATACGGATTATTATTTGTATATGTGTGATTTCTGCTAAGTGTAAAATAATGTATAATATAAGGACATAGTCTAGCTATGCGCTTTCTATTTGATCATGCATTTGCAGTTTCGATTACCGTCAGAAAATTATTACGACATAGTTGCATAGCTGCCAACGATCTTGCAATAGACGAGAGCAAAATGTTCTCTCTACAATCTCGATAACTACGACAACATTACACATGCTCGAACACGTAAACACATCGCTTTAATCGCGATTTGCTAAGTTTAACTTTTGCTCCTTGATCGCGATTTTCAATCACAATATATAGAGATTCAGCCTTCATCCAATTAAGTCTTATATGACTTTTTTCTCTTCTTCTCACGGGAATTTTTTTCGTCTAGTTTTCTCAAATTTTTTACCTATTGAAGAAATTAATTTAAAGAATAAATTTAGTTTAAAAAAAAGTTAAATAAAATCTAATTTAAATATAATTATTTTATAATGTTAAATCATTTTTATATTATTCAAGATTGAGAAGTGTCTCTAAAAATGTATAACATTTACTAATTTCTCATCAAAAAAAAAAAGTTCTCTAGTGTACAACATAAAAATTATGTATGTTACATATTTTTATTTTTATGTTATATTTAAGTATTTGAGTATAAATAATTTGCATTTTTTCTTTATTTTGCAATATTTTAATATCTTCAATCAACAAAAATAAAAAGATCACCAAAAGATGAATTACAAATTGTATAACATAAATGTAAAATATCTATCAGATACATAAATGTAAAATATCAGATGTGTAGCGTGCATTGATTCGACTTTACATAACTGCTTTGAAAATATAAACAGATTTCTTGTTGTATCGTCTATGCAACCGTGTCAAATGAGCAGCGATGTTCGAAGACTGGTTTATGTGAGATAGCGACATACGTGCGCGTGGATGCAACGAGATAATCTTCGACCCTTCGCGTTTTCAACTGGTGTTCTTCACAAGAATGTGCAAACCAATGAAATAAATCTTTCTTCCACATTACATGTCGACATGCCTCCAAAAATGATTTATGAGAGGATTAACTTATTGATTACGATAGCACAATCGCAAAAATTGTAAATTTTGATTTTTTTGCTCTAAAATAACTCATTCTTCAATACATTGTCCTTAAATACATCAATTTTATGCAGCTTATTACTACATTGCTTTTTTACATGTTTATAACTTTAAATTATATTATTAATTTGTTTCGAAAAATAATTAATTTTTATAATCATATATTTTTTTATATTCTGCTTCTTGAAGTTTATGATTATAACATTTGCTTCTTTATATCTTAATTAACGAAAGAATATGGTATTATTTTAGAGAAATAATTTTTTTTTGCGCAATGCACTCAGAGAGTAAAAAAGATTGCTAGCATCATATTTGATTATGGTCAATCATTCTTTCTTATGAAGATGTAAATGTATTCGAATATGCGCGATGACTAGTCCGTATAATTATTTGTAATAACTAATTAATTTGTTCAATGACAGTATGATCAGTTGATGCTCTCTTTGGCAACTTTTTATTTTTATTCTTTTTATTTTTATATAAGAAAGTTTTTTCATCAATCATTATCAATATATTATTGAATTATGAAGATTACCTGTAACATATTATGTTATTGAATTGCAAATATATGATTTATTAATTACGAACTCTTTTATATGGAAATTTAATTACTCACTTTGATTGCTCTTTTCTTGACATTTATTTAATCAAAATATATGAAATTAGAAAAATGATACGATCAAAAATTATATAAAAAATAAAAGCTCTAATATTAACAATGAGTTTTTTTGTTTCTTTTTAAACGAAAATATTTATATATCAATACTTTTTAACGATAGAAAACAAAAGCTTTTTTAAAATTTTGAAGATATAGTGACAAATAAATAAGTAGGGAAATGATACAATCAAAAATTTCAAAAAAATAAGATAAAAATGTTATATATATAATTAAAACGTATATATATATATAATAAAAACGTATTATTTTCCATATAATGTTAAAATCAAGAACATCATGCAAAGGAAGTTTATCCTATCTAAAGAATTGATACCAACTATTATACGTACAACAAATTTGACAATGGCGGCATATTAAAGAACAAATTATTCAAATAAAAGATCAAGATTTACAATTCGCTTCTTTCTCGAAGATATTGGAAGCGTAAAACAAAGTCCTTCGTTTTTAATCTTAAAGAGATTCAAGGTTCTTCCTGTTGCTTCCCTGGACCAGATAAAATATACGATAACATAATAAGATACGCAGATATGCTCGCAATGTGCTTGTCGCAACTACGTAATAAATCCCATTTTTTTCAAGGATTTGCGTGGTACGTTTATCTTGGTACATATAACATACACATAATAATATAATACGCATGCACATATTTTAACAAACATTTATAAATAAGAATTAATAACGTTAATTATCGAAACATATTTATTAAAATATAATACTTTTGCTATTTTTATGAAGATATTAAAAAATATATAAGTAATTAGTAAAAAAATATATTTTTACAGAGACAAATTAATTATAAACTAATTATAAATTAATATAAATACTTTCTAAATAAACTTTTATATAAATAAAAATGTTTACATCAAAAAAGTTATGTAAAGCAAGAAATAACTAATACAAAATATTATAAATTGTTAATTTTCTAATAAGAGAAACGACATAAAATTTATCGTTTTATTGAAACTTGACTTTTATTAGATGAAACAAATAAAATGACAATCATCAATTTTTTATGCTAAATATAAGGTAGATAATCATAAGCAAAAAATTGATCTCACTTTCGTGTTTGGTTGAGTCATCAGATAAATGATCATTCGAGTATCGTTCCTCATTTTTGCGGCAAAAATTACAGAATGGACCGCGCAATACATAAGATCAAGAATTATTACTGTTCACTCGACCGACTGCCGTATATTGTAATTCCAATATCGCAATAACGCTCGTTGCAAAAGTAATGTTGCACTTTAATGATCAAAGAATAGAGTAGCTCTTAAATATAAATTATGAAATTTCGAGTTATGTGTTGCAATCCTTTATCCGCAATCAAAGTCGCTGAGACTAGAGGTCGAGACTCGTAAATTTGTAGATTCAATAAAATAAAAAAGCATAACAAATGAAATAGTTATATTTGTTGTATCTCAATGAATAATTATGAAAGTAGTGAATTATATTTCACATTGGTTCTATTGCTTTAGCTACAGCTATATTACTATATTATTTATAATCTTTTTAACGTGAGAACAAGTTATATTAATAGATTATTTATTTATTATATTAGTAGAAATTTGATAAATCTATATAATAAATTGGATAAATCTATATTATTTTTCGATAATGTATGGATGTATGGATAAAATCTCAAAATAAGCATATATAGTTCCAAAAAAATTTAAATTATACAATTTATAAATTATTAATAATTAAATATTAATTAATTTACAAATGGATATACTATTTTCTTAAAAATGATAGAGTTGTGTGGAGTTATGTGATGTTGGAGTTTTGTGTAACAAATTTCTAGAAGAACTAACAACAATTGGAATATATGTGGAAAAATAGAAGAATAACTTGAAGAATGAAGCCACAAAAACCGCGTTAGAGCACATTTAAAGAGATAGTTTGATTCGTGGTATTTTCTTGACCACGAGAAACATCAAGTTCTTGATCACGAGCAACATCAAGTTCTTGATCACGAGCAACATCAAGTTCTTTTGCATTCACCCTTATCGTAATTTCTTCGCTTCCTCAATTATACGCTTATTTAACGTGCTTTTCTTTTTGCAGATACCTTCACGTTGATCATTCTGGGTTTGCTTGGCATCGCATCCGGTTGTTTCATACTACTATATCATCCCTACGAGTTACTCTACAAATGGAAAATAACATTCAGTGATGGAGGCGAGATCTTCGAATTGTGGCGAACACCTCAAGTTGATCTCTATGTGAAAATCTACCTATTTAACGTGACAAATCGCGACGAATATCTAGATGGTCGAGAGACCAAGCTGCGATTTCAACAAGTTGGTCCTTATGTGTACAAGTGAGTAACATAATGTGTAATTTGATTAATTTTTGCGTTTTTCAGAAATAGATATGTGTGATAAACTGAAATTTGGCTCAATAATAATAATTAAAAATTAAATCGAAATTGGCAAATTAAAACTACAACGCGGTAGTTGGAGCGCGGGGAAGAAATAATACTTCCTTCTTTCTGATTAATTGTATATTTCAAATTAAAAGTGGTTACATTAACAAAAAACGAATGTTTCGGATCATTTTTTGTTGATTATCGCGCTATGGCTCTAATTTGCCAATTTTGATTTAATTTTTAATTTTTAGATATATGTAAATCATTTTTCTATTAATTTTATATTAAAGATTTTATATTAATTTTATATTATGAGTGTGAATTCACATATGATAGATCGCTAATTATTTTTTTAAAGAAACTCGTTTTTATCGTTACATTACTTCGCGAAACTGCATTAAAGCATGTACAAAGAGAAACTTATCAAGTAATCATTGAGAACCCTGGAAAACCTGAATGGCAGAAGTGTTGAAATTATATGTTCTTGTTTAATATAAAAGAAAAAGAGAGAAATGGTCATGAAACCAGAGATCGCTCGGCTAATGATATTCAAAAGCGCGAGAAAAAAGTGGTTATAAATCATTTCGTAAATAATAATAATTATTAAATGGACGTGAGATCTAGTTTATGTGATTGTCTCACGTACACTTGACCTTATCTCATTGCTGTCCAATTGTGTTCTTATTTTTCATCTTTAGTATTTATAACGAAGAAAATTTGTCGCAAGTTGCATTCACCCGACTGAATATTTAAGGTCGTTCTTAAAATACTTCAAGTTCATTACTAATAGTCGATAAAATTTCTGAATTAAATTTTACTTAAATGAATAAATGTATATTTATGGAAAATTAACGAGAAAAAAAAGAAGATAACGAAGACAAAATATAATACTGATTTAATATTGACAAAAGAGAAATAGTTACATAAAAAAAATAAAAACTATATGTTTTTCTTAAATATTCGAATTGAAAATAAATTTGTAATTTATGTTTTATTAATAAAACATATATTAAAGTTACATTCTCTACTTATAGTTAGTTTTAAAAAATAAATAATTAAAAAATAATTAATTACATGTAAAATTCTGTGAAACTTTTTCTAGTAAAATTATTTCAACAATGTATTCATTCCGATAAATTTGTTGGAAAATACGTGTACAGAAAATATATTCTAAACATACTAATGATGAATATAATGATGCATGCTAAGATTAGTTCACATAATACATTTCGTTTCAGAGAAAATTTCAAGCATACAAATATAGTTTTCAATGATAATGGTACGTTATCGACGAAACCAGTACATCCATTGAAATACATCCCAGAATTGAGCAATGGTACGGAAGAAGATCTCGTAATAATGCCAAATATCGCCTTGTTCGTAAGTACAAATAGCAGAACATCACTCTTATAAATTATAAATAACATACGACGAAATCTTTACAAATTTATTATACGAACGCGAAATATGGTTAACAGCGCACGTTTTTTCTGATAAGCGGACATGTTCGTGCAAAAGGAGCTACGTGCTGATGTAGAGGAACGTGCTAATTTTGATGCAAAAGTTCGAAAAGAATGAAAGATAAGATCATTAAAGACATTTTTAATCAGTAATTATATTTCAATTCCGTATTCTTCTGTGACTTTTTTTTAGTGTAATTAATCGATAATTATTATCACATATTTACATGTACGCGTGAATAAGATACAACATAAACAAGGAAAATTGTCGAATTCGCAAGAGTTAATATCATGTATTCATATTCCGCTTATTTCATTATAAATGAGCTCTTTTATCGAACTATAAAATGAATTTTATGGAATCTCTGGAATTTCTCGATACGAATTATAAATACGTAAAAAAGATTATAATTTATTGTGTTTTTTCTCAACATGATATATGTAGATCATAATTAATCTTATTAATTGCAAAGTAATTACTAATAATGAACTCACATCATTACATAAATCAATGAGAAAAATTGAATAAAATTTTCCACATACTAAATTTCATATTTACATATTCAATCAAAATTAAATGTAATTAATATAAAATCAAATACAATTAAGTGAAACAAAGTTTTATGCGTCTTATACATTATTTACAATATGTTCGTTATATGTCCGATTTAATACGAAAAATTATCGAAAGTTTTTTGAATGTGATTCTCAAATGATAATTTGTCGTATATACGACATGCAAATCTAGATGCATAAAAATCAATATCATAACATTTAACAGAGAAGTAAAAACCTTGACCAAATAATACGAATCATATCAATTATAATTTCCGTAACAGAAAAAACTCGAATGTCTTTTATGTATGAGTATTAATTAATGATATAATACATAATTTGCATGTAAAAATTGCGCAATCAAACTTCTAGTAAATACAAATCTAGTAATGCAAACCTAGAAATTAACAAAAAATGCTTATATTTCCATATTTATTTATTTGTATTTATAATTTCAGATATAAGTAAATAATTAATAATTAGTAATTATCCAATAACATTATATTTTATCCTGATTTTTAAAATAGTATCAAGGATAAAAATTTTGATATTACTAGATACTGTGATTATTTAATGAATTTGTTATACAATAATAGTAATAATAAAAAAATATTGCAATCATTAAATATTCTAATCATGTGCAAAGTGTTATAGTGTTTAAAACAAAAATTTATGGATAAAAATATGGATAAAAATATACATATTAGAAAATATTTGATAAGATACAAAGCATTTTGATTACAAATGAAAATTTAGATTAGAATTTATTGCGTCAATTATATCTGTCACCTATCTAATTCTGAGTTAATGCTGCACACGGTGCGTTCATTGGAAGCTCACTTCTCACCGACATTTCTATGATATTTCATTTATTTGATACAATCTAGCACGTCGTAAATTTCAACAACAAATCATTAATTACAATCGATTTCGCAAAATCTTTCTTGAGGGCTCTATTCTTGGAGAGATTTAAGAATCTTTATTATGCGCAAATTTATCGACGACACATTTCATTCTTATGCAATACGCAATATGTGTTTTCTTAGATATAAATGCATGCTTTTGCAACAGTTAATTTATCAGTTAGGAAATCGTACAACATTCTCCCAATAAACGCCCATCCTTAAAGTACTCTTTATTGTACCACTAATAAAATCAGATATAACATTCAATAGATTTCAATATGTTCTTATAACATGTGCTCTTTACATAATATCACACTGCGAATTAAATATTGCACATGACACATCCTTTGACGATGCAGATTTTTCTAGAATGTAAGTCGAGTTATTCAATGGAAATATTCAGTTAAAAGAAATCTTCTTCTATTCGTAATGCACGAATGCATTCTCGAGAAACGTGTCACATTTGCTTTGAGGTCAAGAAATTGCGAAAAGTTGAGGAAAAGACATGAGGCGACTAAAAGGTGGTGAAAGCTAGCATTTTTTGTCTCATTACGAGAATATTTGAGTGAAACTAGTAATCACTAGTAACATTACTTTTACTTTCAAATTTAAAATCTTGTGTTTTCATTAATCTCAAAATTATTATATTATTTCTAGTTTTATTAAATATTATACTAAGTTCGTTTATATAATTTTTTACATAAAGAATGCGCGGATAACTGTTACCTAAAATTTTTTTAGAAGAATGCGAACAAGTGCCTATATAGATGTGTTACTCAAAATTTTCCTAATTTAAGAAAGATATTAGATTTTATTTAGATTTCATTTTTGGCTTAAAATAAAACATAACGCGTAAATTACGAACATGCAAGTTTCCAAATAAATTCAATTGAGTTTCTAATGAATGAAATTATCGTTCTAGAGAAAAAATCAATAAAAAAATATGTTTTTTATATGAGTAAAAATAAAAATTTCTATAAGAGTGAAAATTAAAATGGTAACTTGATCCGTCTGAAAGCTTGTATATTCGTAATCTTCATAACTATATTTTAAGCGTCATAATTTTATTTTCAGCAAAAAATGAAATCTTAATGAAATATCTTCCTTAAATTAGGAAAATTTTGGGTAACACATTTATATGGGCACTTGTTCTTTTCTGATTTAAATATGTTTTAAATACAAGCACAATCCCCATACTAAAAAATATATTTTTATTAAAGAAATTTATATATTTTATATATATTTATATAAAAATGTATATAATTTATATATTTTTATTAAAGAAATTTTTTTTCGTATTTTATACGTACATAAAAATGCACTCGTTCTTATTATTGGCATTATTGAGATTAATCACATAACACGTTTACATTCCATCGGAGAACAAACGATATAGCAAATATAGTACACATCAGTATAAGATATTTATATGTACAGATCATATCTCAGAATGCGGATCATTATTGTAAAACGATTCCTTGTAGAGAATAAAAATATTTTCAATAATCTTCTCCTTAACATTTTAACTTATTTCAGTTTATTGTGCAAAAAAAGATACTTATATGATCATTAATATCAGCTTATTGTAAAAAATGAAAACTCATATAATCATTAATATCTTGAACTATAATTAATTACAATTACTTACTGTCAAATATAATTCGATATACTTCTTCGATTTTGTTCGCATATTCAAATGAATATAAAAAAAACATTAATCTTACTCAATGTAACTATAAAACTTTCCGTTCGCGAGCGATAAAAAAATGCATAATCTGATACGGTACACCTTCAAGTATTTATAGTAGACTTTGTCACAAGAAAAAATCGTGATTATCACGCCATTATGTAAATATATGTAAAATAATGAATTTTCTTCCATAATAGCAATAGTACATATATATATATATATATATATATATATATATATATATATATATAAACAGTATCCCTTCCATTTTTAAATAAAAAACAAATTTATATTTATTTAAATTTTGCATTATAGTTATTTATAAATAAAGATATAATTTACTTTTTCATATCTTCTTGATAAATCTTATAATGAATTAATATTTTTATGGAAAAATGTTTTTTTTACATAAAGGAAATGAAATTAAACGAATAAAATACTTATACATCGTATTTTTATAGCATAAAAGTTAAGTACAAATGTGTAACATATGCTCCTGGATTTAAGATGTAAACTATTAAATTTCAATTTTATAAAAATCTAATGCGAACTAGTTGATATATTGTAACACTATTATGTTTTGCACGCTAGATAAATTTGCCTATATCGGCGTAATGATTACGTTAAATATTGCATTTATAAACAGATAGATCTCAAAATTTAATTTAATTTGCTTGTTTAATGTGACGGGTGTAATAAATGTTTCGTTTAAGAGTTCGCTTAAGCAATACATTCCTCATAAGCAAATCAAAAGTTTGTTAAGAGCAATAGATATGCTATATACACTCTCTTATCTGTTTAAAAGGTCGCATAAGAGAAAGTGTTTCATTTGTATTCATTTTTTGCATTATTTCTTTTGCATACGGTAGTCATTATCAATAATCGAATATTCTGAAAATCTTTTTCAAATATTCAAATTAGAATAACTGAGCAAAAATGATCTTTTTAATTAATCTTATCTTTGCAAATTAATCTTATATTATATATTAGTTTTATACCATATTTAATTTATATAATTATGAATTTTTACAAATATATATATATATATATTAAATATTTAATATATTTAATATATTTAAATATTTAAATATTTAATATATTTAATGAAATTAAATATTTAATAAAATATTTAATACAATAATCAATGGTTCTTTTATATCTTCACAAGAAATATTGACGTATTAGTGAAAAATTACTGAAAAATTAACTCTGCATGAAAGTTAATTTTTAGCAAAAAGCATATAAAATATGGATAAAACATCGTAGAATAACTTCATATTGAATACAACCAATATAAATATATTCAATTCTCTTACATATCATTATCATTGTTGCAATATTACTCGCATTATCATAAAGTGAATGACCCTGGCAATTGCAAGGAAATGGAACGTTTGAAGAAGATTACACATTATTTTTTCCTTTCTCGAATGGTATTGACATGTTACATTTAGTTCGATAAGAAAACATATTAAAACGACATGATAGCTACGTAAACATCATAATGAACAATGAATTATTCCGGCAATATGTACATTATATCATTTTTATTTATTATTCTTATTTTTAGAAAATAAGTATAACATAGAGTTCTATAATATTTAAATTTAAGATATAGATAAATTTAAGATATAAGATTATATTTTACCTAATTACCTAATTATGTTTAGAATGATTTTATTTCCTAATTCTATAAAATTAAAAAATATGTAAAATAAATTTTTTACTAATCTTTCATTAATTTATCAATGCTTCAATGAGAATATAACCAATCATTTTGTCATTATTCATTATCGTATCATTCATTTAGAAAATTTAATTTTTAAAAAGTTATAACTATACATATAAAATCAATCGTTCTAGGATACATTACTTTTATGAATAATTCTTAATTATACACTTTTTATTAATTATTATGTAAATATCTATTCTTATTGCCTTATTGACATGATGATGAGAGAATCAAATAACAAGTAAAGTTAACAATTTAATCTTTTGTACGATGGCGTGTGTACAAAATGCATGAATAATGAATAGGCAAAACCTTATGTATATAATTATATAATGTATGTATATAATTGTATATAATGTATGTATATATAATTGTATATAATGTATGTATATATAATGTATGTATATAATTATATAATTATATGATTATATATAATAATAGATTATCGAAATGAATGTATGTATATATAATGTATGTATATAGTTATATAATTATATGATTATATATAATAATAGATTATCGAAATGAAATCAATTTTTTAATTGGATGAATAATAGTAATCTTACCTTAGATTAGATAATCATATGTTATTTTTTTGTGATTGCAGAGTATTACAAATGTGATGAAAGACGCCTCGTACCTATCCAGATGGGGACTCAACGTGTTGATCCGTCAAACGGACACCCATCCTCTGGTTGAAATGACTGCACGCGAGTTCATGTTCGGCTATCAATCGACCCTCGTTACCCTCGGCAATCATGTGATGCCTACCTGGATCAAATTCGATAAGCTGGGATTAATCGATAGAGTAAGAAATAGCGATGAGTTTTTCAATACGCGTGATCTAATATGAGCTGTGATAGCTTTAAAAAGAATATATGTAATTAATAAAACTAGTTAAATTTAGAATTGATTTGTTTATTCCAATTAATTAAAAAATTTTGGCTTTGTACGATTTATTTTTTAAATTCATTTTATTATTTTAATTTCTACAAAATGCAAGATTTTTAATAATATAGGGTTTGCGTTTATGCCCTGCGCTTTATAGATGTACGATTTTGACGGTGATTTTGAAACCATTTACACGGGAGAGACCGATATCCGAATGACAGGCTTGATTGATAAATACAACGGAGACGTAAATCTACCGCAATGGACCGGAAAATGCGCAAATGTGAATGGAGCTAGCGATGGCGTCAAATTTCCAAGCTATATTGAACCGAACGATACGCTCCTCTTCTTTCGCAAGAGCTTGTGCCGTAGCGAACGATTGGTAATTTTGATTATTGCAATCATTTCGACGAAATGATTAACTCGTTCAACTAAAAATCTTGGGCTGAGTCATGCGTGCCAATATTCTGTTATTAACTTTCTTCACTCATATAGCGTATAAACTCATAAATTGCTTTTACGAAATTCGCGGGATATCCTTTAAGCAATTTGGTGTATTTCGACGCAAAAATTTCATGTTTTTTCACTTACAACGTAAATTTCTTCTATAACAGCCTCGAATTAAAATTCCAGTCAATAATATAAACTGACATTTATAATTGACAACATCTTTAATTATTAATCGCTTATAAGTTAGAAATTATTGAATATCTCGATATATATAAGTGTGCTAAATTAAAATTGAATTCTTATATCTTTATCACAGAATATACCTGTAAATTTTGTATCACAACTTTTAAATATTCTGTATATGCATAATATTTAATAATATAATAAGGATTTAAAAAATCTTCCTTTCTAATATAATATCTCTCAAGAATAAATATCTCTTCTTTTCAAAGGTACGAATCGGAGAGAAGGAAATAAAGGGTTTGCATACATATCAATATGCATTTCTAGAAAATGAATTGGACAACGGAGCAGTAAATCCAGAGAATAAATGCTTCTGCCGCCAAGGGCATTGTTTGAAATCCGGCTTAATTGATGTGACCGATTGTTATTATGGTAAGATATTCCTATTAATTAATCGTTTTGCTAGATTACTGCTATGTAAGTTGAAAGTAATAATTATTCTCGAAACGTTAATATAGATTTGTTTCAACACGGATTTTTGGCGAACAAATTAGTACATTTAGTATTTTTTGTCATTTAATATTTATTACTTTTGATCTATAGTACAATTTATAAAATGTATTTACTATTATAAACATTTAGTATATTTATTATATTATATTAAACACAATTCTCAACCGGCTATCATATATGAAAGATTGATTTTTCCAATCTGCGTCGCAAAATCTATGACTTATTGCGTACTCTGTATAATCGTACCATCTAATTTTTTTCATTGATATTGTGTTGTAAGATTTCTATTGCCATCGTATTGCAAAAAAATCGGCAATTTCGATTAGCAACGCATGCAAATTGAATAGGATAAAAAAATAGAAGAAAAAAATTGTTCACACCTTTTTCTTTTTAACAATAAGTAGCGCGCAAATCGATTAGCGGTAATTTGTTTTTTTGTGCTCCTAAGCAGATCTAGAACATTCGACTCGAGTCTTTGAGATTAATGCGATGCAATGCGATTTCTTCATCGACACAGTACATTATGTACCGATAAAATGCATCGAACGGTCGCACATTAGAGATATAGCAGACAACATTCATGATAGTACAAAATATGTCATGTATGATTACGACATAATGACCGAGAAGTTGTTCCCGTTGAGTGATGAACAACGCAAAACACTTTACGAGAATAGCAAATGTGTCAATGTCTCGTGTCGTGTTCTCGATTTTATCATCGGAAATGCTATATTTTTATCAGATTTACCACTGACTTCAAATCAATGTCAAAAAAATTGTTTTAATATCTGCTGATTTCAAATTATATCGGGCATATCGGATATTAAAATATGAATAAGAAATATGAAGAAAGAAAAAGAACAGATGGTTACATTAATACAAATGCAAATTATATGTTATATATCAATTTTAGTTCATAAATATTATTCATTATTTAGTCTATTTATTATAATTATATTTTACGGTGTATTTTCATATATATTTCGTGCTAAATTATCATATTAAAATATTACAAAAAAAATTGAAAAATATAAATTGCACGAGAGACATTTTTCGTATATCATATTCTTATTTTCGAATTTAATCTATCAAGTGGAACAAGATTGCATAGATATCTAAATGATACTATAAGTACAAATATTATGCATTTTGTGTTGCAGGATTTCCTATCGCCCTATCATATCCACATTTCTATAAAAGCGACCCATCATTGTTGGAGGCTGTCGAAGGATTACAACCTACAAAGGATTTACATGAATCCTATTTCTTTATTCAGCCAAAATCCGGGGTACCTGTGGACATAGCATTCCGATTCCAAATCAATATGGCTCTACAAGATATCGGACACATGGCTAGAGTGGAAAAATTCAGCGATTTAACTCTTCCATTACTATGGTTTGAAATCGTAAGTAAAAATGATAGTAAAATCTACTTAATTAAAAAAATAAGAACATTTTTTTTGTAATATTTTTCTCTAAAAAAAGCATAGTCAAAAGGTTGATTTAGAGATACTTTTTTATATTACATCTACTTTTTTAAATTGAATCAATAAAAATTTGATTAAAACAATAAAATAAGATTCATTGATTATAACAATGACAAGATTTGATAGAAAATCAGTGAATAGTTCTCTAATTTTATTGAAATACTCATCAATTGACTCACTATTGAAATACTCATTAATGTTTAGTGAAAACTATTTTGTTCCTTCATTTTATTGATTGATTATGGCATAAGATTTTATTGGAAAATCAGCCACTGATTCTTAGTATTTTCAATGCTATATTTGTAATTGAAACCACTGCTTAAATAATAATACATAATGATTCTAATTTAAGAGATTGTATTCTTTTGTATTATATCTATTATATCTATTATCTTTTTCATAGCAAGTCATGCAACATATTTCATCATTTTGTTCGATTGATCGTTGAATGATGATATGCACGTAAGCATTCTAATAAATTTTTTTGATTTTTAGGGAATGTATGACTTACCGACCAAGATGCGTTTGCGTTTCTGGTTTTATTTAAATGCCTTGCCAATTATGGAAGAAGTAGCTTTGTATTTAATGTTTTTATCCGGCGTGATGCTACTCGTTTGGTGCGTAATAAGGATAGTATCTTATCAGGCAAACAGATCGCCGGAGAAAGGATTGGAAAGGGAAACCAAAATAAGACGAAAACGCGCCGAGAAGGATAAAGGTGTCGATCAAAAGACCAGAGAGGCAGATGCCTATAGTTCGCTCCTGATACTCGGTGATGCAAATTTAACATTAGTGTAATAAATCAGTGCTTTAACGCATAACGCATGAACAAGCAAAACATTATTGTTTTCGATAGCTTTTTGGCTCAATTTAGAATTTTTTTATTAGTTAGATAAATTAGACTAGATTTTTTATTAGCTAGAATTGTTTTATTAGTTAGATAAATATTAAAATTTCGTGGACGATTTCGATAAAAAAATTAAGATGTTATATCTCTTTCTCTTCGAAAAAGAATATAAATTTATTCTAGATCTATAGAAGACATCTCACATAAAAATTAGCGTAATAAGACTCTGAAAAATACTTGATGTAGTTAATTGTCTAGCATGTCATTGCATTTAACTGCGCATATTTGCATTAACATAAATAAGATTTTAGATATAATAAAATATACTAAAGTATTATTTTGTATAAAATAATATATAAAGTATTGTTTTGTTATATATATTATGCACAGTATATATACTGTTACATACATATGCGCACACACATGCATGTTATACTAGTATATGCTGTACTTAAGTACACAATCATTCAACGGATAATATCAGGGTATTAGTCATAAAATTCATTAGATTTAATTAATTCCGATTAAATCGTGAATTTATAGACATTTTTAGTTTTCGATTTTTGATATTATAAATAATTACAATCACAAACTTTCCAACTATTTTCCGGTATTTCATATCTTAATAGCAATATTATATGTTCAATAATGAATAGAGCTATTTTCTTGATAATTATTTGATATAATGAGATTTTCCATATATTAGATGATGCAAATAATGCTGCATTGTATTGAAATGTTTTACAGAGATCTGTTACAGAGATCTCATTTATAAAAAATTAATTTTCTAAAGTTTTCAAAAAAAAATATGTGCTTAATTTTTAATTCTTTAATAAAAAAAATGAATCAAAATGATTCATCTTGTAATAAGATTTCACTGATTCAATGTGCCAATATATGTCATATGCCAATAATATCCTCTCAATCAATATAATTTAATAAAAGTGTAATTTTCCCGGGAAATAGTGATCAAATTAGTTACCGCGTTAAAAATATCATGAATAAAAAATAATTAAGATAAGAAAAAACATTATGTCGCATTACTGTACACTATAATTTATAATTGATTATTATGTGTATTGATTTATATTATTGCGAAAATGCTTATACTTTCTTATTTTGTGTTTTTATTTTATGTTTCGTATAAGTAAATTAAATTATTTTAGATACAATGAAATCATTATCAAAGAATTAATTTCGAATGATTAAAATTCTCTATATAAATTTCTTTTAAAGAATTTTCTGAAATTATTCAAGGATTACAACACGAATACTCGTATATTTATGTTATGTCAATGGCGCTTCATTAAACTTCAATTGCTGTAACATAACATGCTAGCAGTCATATTTGTGATAGTTTTATTTCGCTTTTTTGTTTCATTTTCAAACAGTATTTTTTAAATATGTAGAAATGATGTAGAAAAGTTTGCTACATCAATTTAAATTAAATATATTAATGCACTTTTATTGCCAATTTCATCAAATTTATATCTCCATTAACAGATTTAAATTAACGATCCCTCTCATATCTATCTTTAGAAATGATAATAATGTAATTAAAATTTTTTTTTCTTTGACAAATATTAACGAGATAAATTGTTTTTATTATTATTGTAAAAATTGTTTTTAATATTATTATAAATTTAAGAGATTTATCTCTTTTAGAAAAAAAAAGGATAAAATTGGCTATCATTTTTTATATATAGTTGAACATGTATACATATAACACATCATGGTAATTATAATATGGTAATTATAATATTTGAAATGAGAAATTGTGTAAATTAGTATTTCAGCATCCATTTATACATTCAAATTAATTAATTTTTTTCTATTCCAAATGCATATTCACAAGAAAAAAATTTACATAATTTCTCAATGTTACGTATTCAATATGATCATAGTAAAAAAAACCATAACTTTTCTACATATTCCTAATTTTTTTTCTATTTTAGAAAAAAAATTTTGTTTAATTTGTCAATTTATCGAATATATAGTAAAATTTTAAAATAAAATAAAATATTACAGTAATATTAAGTAATCTATATTACTAATATATTACTAAAAGCGATGTAAGATAAAAAAAGCTACATAAGTAAAGCTTACTACTATACACTTATAGTGTATAGTAGTAAGCTTTACTTATGTAGCTTTTTTTATCTTACATCGCTTTTTTGTGTAAATATGTATATAATTAATGAATTATTAATATGCGATGTGCACTGTAATGTTATATCTATTGTCTGAACATTTGCATGTATTTTAATTGTGTAAAGTTTATAAAAAAATATGATCTTTTTATACGTAAAAAAGTATATGATCTTTTTACACATGCATATTTACTCATTTTATTATTATAAAATTTAAGAAAAATTTCGATATTATGCATTTTTAGAAAAATAGCAATAATAATTTTATATATAGAATATAAGTGAAAAAAATATGTATATATATATGTATATGTATGTATATATATATATATATATATATATATATATATATATATATATATATATAATGGCTCAATGAGAAATATTTTTCTCTAGAAATTCTTGCCTGATTTACACAAATATTAAAACTATATAGAATTAATATATTAACTATAAATAAAAAAAAATATGTGCTCACTTTTATATGTTTAATATAATATTTAGAAATATAAGAATATATTTGTAATATAACTTTACGTATATATATATATATATATATATATATATATATGACATGTATTACGTATATAATTTCTTTTTATATATGTAGAATGTGATGATGCATTAATTTAATAAATTCTATAAAATGCATTCTTTGAATCTAAAATTTATCTCGTTTTCTTCTTTTATCTTTCTTTCAATATTTCTATATTTAGGTGTAAACATATGTTAAAATTGACAAATTATAATTAAAATAAAATATCTGTAAACAGTTTCAATTATTGCAACTGTATATCATAAATACATATTTAATTATTTAAGATTTTGTAGATATATATTCTGAAATTTATTCCAAATAAAATTTATCTCGATTTATCAAATTATGGTTCTTTGACGATACGTAACAGTCGTATAATCCTCTGTAATAATTATATTTGATTAATCGATTGTGATAATCGATTATTTTATCAATCGAATTTCCATAACAAAATTCTTATGATGCGTCTATCATATTACTTGTCATAATTAAGTCGTGCTAATTAAATGCAATTCGAATGCTGATTGATTGTCACGTTTTTTAATTAATACAAATATAATAACTTCAGGAAATAAAGCGAATCATATTTATTTCAAATATAAATATGTTATTTAATTATCTAATATACATATATCGATCATAATTGTATTTCGTATTTCAATAGTATTATTATTCAATTAATTACTTTCTATCATTATTTGTGCCATTACTCAAGATTTACCTTTTAACGATGCGCATCTGTCCACATAATATATACGTGAAATTATTTTTAAATTATCAATAATATTTAGAAAACATTACTTCACTTGAAATACATAATTCTACTGTAATAATTATTTAATTATCTTTTCAAATCAAATTTGATGCTTAGATGCTTTACCGAATAATTTTTGCGCGACGCGTCTATTATATCGCTCATGACTATCAACCTAAAAATGTGATAAATCGAATGTGACGCAAACACGATTCCCGCCTCGACGATTTTCGGCCTCTGTAATACAAATGTCGATAACTTCACGAAGTAAAACGGATCGTATTTATTTCGAATATAATTATATTATTCAGATATCTCTAATACATATATTGATCATAGATGTGATTTCGTATTGTAATAGTATGATTAATTCAATTATTTTTTATTATTATTTATGTCATTTCCTCGACTTACCTCTTAATAATGCGCATCCGTTGACGAAATACATCATACAAAATTATTTCCCGCACGTAAACTATCGACGATATCCGGAAAATATTAATCCGTCTCCACTCGCAACACAAAGTACATCAAAATTTCACTGTAATAATTATTCGATTACGTTTTTAAATCAAATTTTCATATAGATTTTTCCCGAACGATTTTTCGTGCGCGACGCGTCTATTACTGTTCACGATTACCAACATGAAGTCGTGTATTAAATGTGACGTAACATTGATCGATTCCCGCGTTTTTTTTGAATAATACAAATGTCAATAACTTTACGAAGTAAAAAGGATTATGTATTTATTTCGAAAAAGTTTTCATTACTTTTATATTGCTTGCCTAACAATAAATAGAAATACGATTAGATATAAAATAAAAAATCTTTCAAGATTGGTTCATAAAGCTTACAACAAAATTATGTATTCCTTCTTTATCTGTAAAATAGAAACGTTATTTATGTTTATTAAAATTTCTAATATCTAGGGCATTGTATAGTCAAATATAAATTTTAGAAATTATCTTACCAAATATTTTTTTTCTTAACATACTGTAGTGCATTTCTCTGCAAGTTTTTGAGAATGTTGCTCTATCTGGGAGACGTTCCGATGGATAATATTTCATTAGATACGATTTTAAAATTTCTGCTGTTTTAAATTGCATAACTTTATCTGCAGGTACTTTCAGTCTATTATTACTTTTATCTTTTTCGTGCTGTTTTAAATTAAATAAATGAGCAGTTTTTTCTTTCTTCTTTAATTCTACATTAACTTCTTCCAAGTGCTTCCTCGTTTTATTTTTTTCCATCGATAAATCATCATTTATTGTATTAGTGGTATCTTCTCCCAAATCCTTTGTCGTTTTATTATTTTCGGGCATCGATAAATCATCATTTATAGTATTAATATTTATAACTGCATTTCTTTCCTTAACTATTTCTGTTTCAAACTCGTCATCTAAAATCTTTTTATCGATATTTTTATTAGATACGTAATTATTAGTTTCATCATTGCATTCATTATGTACAATTTTTCTTTTCTTAGCAGGGTTCATATCATCCTCATGGTGTTCCATGATTTCGTAATCTCTTTTATTTTTATTTTTATTCTTAATCTCATCTTTGCTTTTAATATATCCAGCACTGTCAACTTTTGATTCTGTATCGAGAAAAATATCTTCTTTTTCATCTGTAGTTTTTTTTGATACTGATCGTGCTGATGCTAAAATTTGTTCATAAACTGTTTTATCCGGTTTTTTTACTTTATCTGTTTTACTCCTGCGAACTTTAGGTTTAGAGAAACTTGTATTAGCTTTTGATTTAGAAGAACTTGTACTAAAGTTGGATGTGTTATCATCATAAATTTTTCGTGCACAGACAAAATCATTTGACATTTGCATTAATGGAGTTTCGCTTTTACATGTATTTTTTTGCGTACTATTAAAATTAATAATAGATGTTTCATTTTTAATTTGCTTTATTTTGACATTTTTAACACATAATTTTTTCAACGATATCTTTTCATTCTTGTCTGATGTAAATGTTCGTAGCTTTTCCTCATTTAAAACCTCTAATGCAGTTTTAAAGACAGAAGGGAAAATTGATTTACTACATTCGTTTGACAAGCAAGTGTTCTCGTTAAATTCAGTTTTAATTATATTAGATTCTTGTTCTTTAAATGTCTCTATATTGTTAGAATTATTAAATTCTATGTCATGACACTCTATTTTACTATAATCACGTATTTTTTTGTAGATAGTATTATCATTAGTACATTTTCGTATCGATGAAATCTGTATGAAAAAAAATATTATATATATGAAGATTTTATGATTATATATATATATATATATATATATATATATATATATATATTAAATATTACATATCTTACCAATCTAGACATATCAAGCTTGTACTTATTTGGTACTTTAGTACTGGAAAATATTTCGTATTCTATGTTATTAGTCATATCATGAATATCCTTCTCTTGAAGTTCTTGTTTATTATTTTTTGAAGAATATTGATAATTCTCAAATAATGCTACTTTCAATTCATTGTAAAAGTGTTCCCGCACCTAAAAATAATGAAAAAAAATACTGAAAAATACTGAAAAAATACTGAAAATGTAAAATATAATTATGCATGATGTCTTACTTGAACGGTTAAGCCTTTTATTTTTTTATCTGTACTATCAGCTGCACGGACATGCGCTATTTTTGCGTATTCAAGGTTTTCTCGCTTTATCTAAAGGAGGAGAATAACAAATAGAAATAAAAATGTGAAAAAATATAAAATTTAAAAATATACAACAAACTTACCTTGTCCTCTTTAGATGCACTACGTCGAAGTGCAAACTGTTTCATAATAAGTTCTTTTCTCTCTTGCTTTTCAACAGCTATAATCTTCTCTCTTGATTCTCCTGACTCATCGAATTCATCACTATTATGCAATTGTAAATATTTTTATATGTAAAAGAATTATATTTGTTAAATATAATTTGTTAAATTAATTTTTCACATACTTTTCGTTGTCGTTGTAGTTTATTTGTGTTACACTGCCTATGTTATTTCGGAATTTTTTAGTTGTGCTCTGATACATTTCAAACTCCGCAATTCTTGCTTGCACTTCGTCTTTGTTTTTACATATGTCACATCTATTTCTGCAAGGCGGAGGAGAATCCCCGAAATACTTGGAAAATACTGCGTGCCGGCATCTATAAGATAATAAAATAATTATTAATATATATTTAAATATATTTAAAATTTTTAAGCATTCTTTAAATATTTATATCATGTTTTACTGCTATAATGTTAAAATATTATATCTTAATATATTCTTTATTCCAAAAAAGATTTCAAGATTTGAAAATATATATTAAATATATTTATATTATTCATATTAAAAAATATCTTTAAATATTCTCTTTTATTCTTAACAATTAGTTTTTATTTATATTATAATATAGTTCGTACTTTGTCTCTAAACAGTATGCAACACTTTTTTCGAAATCTTGCCACTTAATTTTTGCAAGTTCTGAATTTTTATGTGCAATTTCCTCCTTGATAAGAAATGAAATAGGTCCATATTCTTCATTACTAAAATAAACTCTGCAAAATGCTGGATTGCCATCTCTGCCAGCTCTTCCTGATTCTTGATAATATGCTGCAATATTCTTTGGTACTGTCCAATGAATTACAAATCTATACAAATTTACATAATAAAGATTATTTTTTTTATTAGGTTGATCAAAGATGTTATAATAATTTACCTAACAGATCCTTTGTCAACACCCATTCCAAAGCTGCATGTTGCTGTGATGACAGGTACTTCACCTGTCGTCCATTTATTTTGTACTTCATTACGTTCCTGAGCTTTCAAACCTATTTAAGTATTAAAATATAATATTGATCTTGTGAATTTCATTACCAACATGCTACAAAAATCATACATACTCCCATGATATGCCAGCGTTGTAATGCCAGCAAGAGTCAATTTGTGTGCAACAATTTCAGTTGTTTCCTTTTTTCTACAATAAATGATACCACAATTTCTTTTATGCTAAAAATATTATGTTCATGAAAAATCTATAATATTATTCTCAACAATTCATAGAATACCATAATAAAATTTAACTCACCATGGGAATAGAATTATCTGAAGGTCCTAATGCATCTAAAATAAAGTTTTTCAGATGTACAAATGGTTTATCTAATGTTTCTAGAAACCACACATCATAATACAGATTAGGACGAAATACTGGCTGAGAGAAAATCAATGCATCTTTCATATGCAAACTTTGGAGAATATCATCTTTTACCTGTAACAGTATTCAATGTATAATTATATGTAGTATATGATATAATCTGTATAAATGTATATTTTAATTGTTTTTAAATACTTGTTTTGCAGCAGTTGCTGTTAATGCAATCATAGGTATTTTGGGACACAATTTCTTGAACGTTCCCAATTGCCTATAAGTTGGCCTAAAATCATGACCCCATTCACTTAAGCAATGAGCTTCATCAATAACAAAATAAGAAAGTGCTTTCTTCTTGCACAATTTAGTTACAATTTCCTAAAAATTAAATATATATTACAATAAAAATTAAGTATATATATAAACTAAAATTTTTACATTTTATTTCAAACTATTTTTTAAAATAATTTAAAATTGTTTCCATTCTGGAATCATGTAAAATAAAATAAAAATAATAGCAAAAATGAATCATTTTTTAATATTTTGTTTGTTATATTGAGAAAAAATCCACGAATACAAGTAACTTTAATAATTATGTATGAGAACTACGAGATACCTGAAAATGCTTTTGTGCTCCCATTTCTGGAGTGACATATAATAATTTAATTTTAGGAGAATTTGACATAAGATCTTCCATTATTGTATTTCTTTCTTTGCTTGATGTAGTGGAATTCAAGGAACAAGCATTTATTTTTTTAGATATTAAGAAATCTATTTGATTCTAGAAATATAAATTAAATCAATATATTTTATTGCTACATAATATCTCTTTTCCTAGATTCTTATATATAGAAAAATATAATATACAAAATTCAAATATACAAAAATATGTACCTTCATCAAAGCTAGGAGTGGTGAAAAGACAATCGCAACTTTTTGTTCTCTCATTATTGCTGGTAATTGAAAACAGAGAGACTTTCCAGAACCGGTTGGCATACACACGAATACATCTCGCTTTCCTAAAATTATCAAACATATATGATTATTTTCTGCGAATTTGATAAATATATTCATTGAAAAAAAAAATTATAGATTTTTTCAAGAGAAGAAAGTATATATTGCAGATGTACTGACAAAATCAGTAATCCAAGCATGAAAAAGATTAATTTTTCATAAAAACCTTTGTAAATTGCAGTGGTGGCTTGTTTTTGAATGTCATTTTTAAAACTGTCATATCCGAATTTTGATTTTAAAACGCTCTGCAACATTCTACATATATATATTTATTGCGTGCGTTGTTCGTTTTTTCAATAATAAAACCAATAAAACAAATAGTGACACTTGCTACTTTTCATGTGTTAGACACAATTGTTATTTTGTGCAATGGCTTTATAAAATAAGCTTGATATTCATATTATTCACACACGCTATACAATAGTATCTGTAATACGTCGTACACTGTCATACGAAAAGAAAGGTTATATGTCATTCATTCTGTTCATTCATATGTACAAAATGAATGTATGCATGTATGAATGATTTATTAGCGTACACAACGTATCATAGAATGCGTTAGAAGAAATCTTATTGGCGGAGTAGAATAGCTTTGAATTGCCCAATCAGAACAAGTAATCTTTGCTGCTTTTAATATGATTGGTCAATTAAATACTATTTTATCCACAAAAAGATTTTCGAACGTATTCCTGTCAGATCTATAGGCGCAATTAGGCCCGTTCTACAATGAGCCATAAGGGTGCAAACCCATGGAGCAGAACGGCGTACGCAGAAATCGCGGAACGAGAGCCTTGACCAATCACAAGCATTCCGTGATTTCTATGATTGGCTCTTGCTTTTCTGTTTCCACTTTTCTGCCAAGGTCTGAATGCGCCCTAATACACACACACACACACACACACACACACACAAAACATATCACACACACACAATGCGTATATACAGAATGCAGAGAAAATGGCGGCATTGATGAAAGCCGTGCATGTTTCCAAAAATATGAATAATATAATGAAGCTTTTCACAAATTTATCTTTGACTCCAAATGTCATCACTTCTTCTAAACATGTATTTCTTCACAGGTTCGTATTACATTATTCTCTCTCTTTCTCTTTTGAAATGTATTTATATATATTACTTCACAGACACTAATCGATATGTCTTCCCAATATATATAATTTTAAATTTTTTTAGGATTAATAGAATTTTCTAAATATATATATTTACACTACTATAAATAAATATTTAGTTAATATAAAAAACATTTAAGTTCTAATATATATATCAAGTTTTAATATATAAGTTATATCTATTAAATGTTTTAACTTTTTTGACATACAAAATTAAATCATATATCTTTCTTTGTAAATATAGGACGCCAGCTTTGCATTGCGCATTTATACACATTACACCGGATAATCGCGATTTGATGGAATTTTTCGACGAACCGAAAAATTGGGGACGAAATGAAGTGAAGGTTGGTCGATCTTGGAGAAAAGATGAATTAAGATTGAAAAGTAATTCAGATCTTCATAAACTATGGTAAAATTTGTATATTTAAAATTATATACATGTTTGTGTAAATATTATTCAGTAGTTTATCAAGTTTATTTAATTTATATATTTAAATAAATTTAGGTATGTGTTACTGAAAGAACGTAACATGCTCATGACAATGGAAGAAGTATGTAAAGATGAAAATAAAATTTTTCCAAATCCTGAACGTTTAGACAAAGTTAAAGACAGTATGAATAATTTGGAATCAGTTGTTCGTGAAAGAAACAGAGCCTACCATATGCTTGAAACTGGTGAAACAGGAGAGCGTCCTGGAAAACTGGTTTATAATTGTCTAGGTAAAACTTATATAATTTATGTAACTTTCATTAAATGATATATTGAAAATATGATACACTGAAAAAAACCTTTAAAAAATTAACAAGAAATATGAAACAAAACATGTTTCTTACCTCTTTCTAGGTTTGAAATTTTATCATCGAATGCATCAATATATTATACCAAAATATATGAATCGAAAATGGCATAAGTGGCACAAGTTTGGTTTTGGTGGGTTTGCAACTCGGCGATTTTTAAGATTATATAGAGAGAAAATTTGGAATCAAAAACGCAGAGCAAGAAAGTTTGTAACAATTGATTCCATCGTTTGTTAAATTACATCAATCTATATGTTCTAAAAAATAAAAATCTGTTTTGTTGTTTCAGTCGTGATAAAAATCGTGTTGCAGTATTAATGAGTAAATTCCCGAATGTGGATATTGAAGCTGTGAAACAACATTTTCCAAATGTTGATCTGGAGACAATAAAAACGTTAAAAAGAGCAAGAGGTCACCATGTACCTGAATAAATGCAGCAGAATAACAAAATATTGAACATTCATTATATTATAAACATAAAATATTCATACATATAATATTGTTGGCAAATTTGTGTCTGTGTCAGCTTTTTTTAAATATTTTTATTCAGAGATTTATTATTCCAAATCATAATTTTAAATGAATTAGATTGCTTAATTATGCAGTTTGCATTATAAAGAGAAATATAAAAATAATGTTATCTGACATCATTATAAATTGTATGTGATATTGTAGAATCAAGTTATTGCATTATCAATCTCTATAAATTATGTATAATATAATACATATGTAATAAAGTATTATGTAATTAAAATATGGTAAAAATGACTAGGAAAACATTTGTTGTTATTGAAATCTATAAAAATTAGGAATTTGAGAATAAAATGTTTTATTCTCTTTTTTTCTCCTTTTAAGAAATAGTACATATTTTTAAATAATAAAAAAGGGATAAAATAAAAATTGTTTATGACATCAAATTCTTTTTATATATTTTAATCAATTTTCTATTTTCTATATATTATAATTTCCAGATTGTGCACAATGGTTTAGAATTTTTGTGTATGAAAAGTATACGGATATAACATTTAAAACATGCTGGCTGTAACCTGTAGAAAATTTAATTCCGCATACTTGTCATACAATGAGAATCAGCATACAAAATGAATTTTATTTTCGCATAGTAAATGCTTTAATTTACATAAATTAAAATAAATCTCACATAAGACTCGTACGAACTTAACAATAATAAACGTTTATTACTTATACGATATATCACAATCAGTGCTACATGAAATAATGCATAAGTTAAGTATTTATTCACAAGAATATATAAGATGCATCTATTCATGTAGCTTTGGTAACATAACATTATAACTTAAAAATTTTATAGCAAATATTGTATCTGTATATTAATGTTGTAAGTAAAAATTAATTCCCATGTACACATAGTTTCCTTTATATCATAGTTTTGTATAATATAAGCATATTAAAATTCAATTATTTTCGAAATTTCATTAAGCATAAATTACTATACTTGTTTTCTTATGTAATTGTAATTATTTTGATAATTAAAATTTGTTATTACATATTCACAAAATGTTAAATATATAAGAATTTCAATGCTATAAATTGCAACAAAAATTGATCCAATTTACATTTATGATTCAAAAATACATATATTATAAATTAGTATAATAACATATAACACAATATTACACAAATTATTTCATATTTCACACCTGTACATTAAAAAATTAATAAATATGGAGTTAAAATTTTACAATTTTAAAATATACCATAAAATAATATTTAAAAACATATAATGCTAATACTAAAATCAATTTATAATTTTGTTTACTAGGAATGTTAAATTATTTAATTTTTATTTCAATTAATTTCAGAAACAATTGAAATACTATTTTTTTGTCAAAGCTGCTCTTTAAGTATTCTTAAATTTTATAGTATCTCTGACAATAGATAACTACTTTAATATCAATAGTGCGTATTCAAATGCATATTGGTTCGTCTTCTCAATATATGTGAATATATAGACATTCATAGTAATCAATAGTGTTGTCTCACAGTTATCGTTATATTACATTCTTTGCGTTATTATAAATAAATAGTAGCTTATTATGTGGCTTATGGCTACAGGAGAAAGTTAATGCACTGTTTTGCAGCTACCCTAAATAGTTATCTATATATTTGAGGCAACTTATATATCTTATATGTAAAGATTTCTCTCTAATGATCAATCTCTCTCTCAACATCGCAATATAGTGAAAATATTGCGTATATATTGATATATCTTGAAATTAAAAATTATAACATTATCAGATATCATATACCCGAATTAGGACATCCATTTTTCTATCTATAAGCCATAAAATAACTTCTTGTTTTATATGACAAATACGGCATTTAATTTGCAACAAAAGCAAAAGAAATTTAGATTATGTTGCATAAGCGACATATCCTCCATATATACGACATTAATGTTTTAGTTTTCAGATATAGTTACCTGGATATTCGCGTGCGCGAGAGTTCTATTTTTCTTACAGCGATATGATAAAATAATTTTCAAATGTGATGGTGTATATTGTCTGTATATTTTTCATTTACTCCAAAACTGGTGGTAACAGATATCGCCAAGCATGTTCTAAATCCCTGCTGGTATCCGAACAACGCCGCTGTAGTTTATCTTCTGGTGGAAGTGTTGTCATGGGAAACTCACCCTATAAAGGTTATAGGTCAGAAAAATATTTAGTTAGTACACATAATTGCACATAATATTAATGTAAAATAGTTATATATCATACCAAGTTTGCATTCGCCCATAATGTTTCCAAAACTTCTTTAAACGCACAGAGCTCAGTATAATTCGTGAAGTATATGATCCAATCACCGCTACTTTCATGTACTTCTCGACATGCGAATTCCTACAAGTATAATAATGCAATATTAATAAATTTTTTTGGCTAACATATAGTGAACGATAAAACATGAAATTAATAGTCCGTATTATATATTCAGATTGATATATAGTACTTACCAATATGCACCATGATTGTTGTACTAATGGCACTCTAAATGCTGCTAAATCCTTGATGGAAGCGCAAGAGAGCGTTTGACCTCTTTGCGTGCCAGGGTGGATTTCCTTCATCGCTACTAGATGTTTCGTAGTTGTGATGAGGCTACAAGGTAATGGCTCTCTATTTTCTGTACAATCGAATAGACCCGATGCACTTTGAACAAAACTTTGTAGCCATTCAGAAGCTACATATTCGTCGGGAGCAGCGAATTGGTATGATTTGTTGGGTTTCAATAGTATCTCGAAAGTATGTGGTCGATGAGAGTTGGGAATTCTTCTACATCCTTGGCACAAGCCGCCTTTCAACGGTATAGCACGTTTGGGAAGCCGTTGACTTGAATCCGTAAACATGTAAACGACTCCACCCTTTAATACGAAATAACCAGCTTCCCAGGGATTCGTAGGTGCGTTCGGATGCAAGTGTTGATAGGTATGTGGACGAAACATCAGATCACCCTCTTTTGTTGGCCCACATGGTGTACTAGGTGGTGACATATGTTCGTCTTCCATATAAATAAGGCTATAATGTTCGATTTTCTCATCCTATAAAAATGATTAATAAAATTAATCTTTTCCTGTGTATGTATATCAATAAAATGCAATTAGAGAAATTAGAGAAATATTTATAATAGGAAAAAATATTTTGCAACTTATAAATGACTAATGAAACTAAAAACACAAACCATATATAAAATGCAAACTATATACTGTCTTAAAATGAATTCTATTTTAATAATTAATTTATAACTGTGTGCTAAGACAAGCATTCACAATTTTTTAATAAAAATGTAATATACACACTGAAAAAAAAATTTGGTTGAATATTACCCAAAAAATATTCTGTTGTAGAAACTGTACATCGTTGTACTGAACTCTGTTTTGATGATTTGAATAAGCTTTGTTTACACCAACAAATTATTTCGGAATATTTTAGTTATATTTATTTGAATGTATCGGACAATATATTTAGTTGAGCAAAACAAATTTTGTCTTTTTCAACCAAGTTTTTTTTCAGTGCACCTCATACAATATAATAATTGCAGTTAAAGATTTACATACAGGATGTACAGCTGTATCATTAAGAATTGAATTCCTCAGAATGTGCATATCTTCATAATTCAGTTCTTTAACAGCAGGAAGTCTCGGTTTCGACGGTGACCGTCTCATGGCCATCTCTAAGTGACCGATTAATTCTGAGGTAGTTTGCGAGCTGCCAGTGGAGAATAGATACTGCATTTCACAATCGGCATTGGAAATCAAAATACTTTGTGCATTAGGTCCAATCTAGAAAAAAAAGATAAACATATATTTTCGCTAATGAAAAATATATTATATTTTCAAAAGAAATAAATATATTTAAATTTTTCTTACCATGATAACATCTAATTCATTGTAAGGAATAACAAATTGATTGCTATAAGAATGATCTAGTTTTGAACCGGTTAAATATAGTGTTTTGTCCGTCAATAGTGCGATCATCGGCTTACTTTCGCCGTTCGTCATGTACGAACTTCGCACTTTGTATACTTTATATAATTCTTCCGTTTTGTCGCGATAGATATGTCTTTTGAAAATTTCGCGTAATTTTAGGCTTACTTTCTCGCCACTGAATTCCTGTTTTTCAGCGGCCACATTTTCTTGGATCTCTTTATCAAGATTGTCGTTAAAATCTTTGAAAGAGTCGTAGCTCGTTTTAATTCCTTTAATGTATAAAGTATTTGCCTTAGGCGGTTTCTTGCTCTTCTTGATTTCGAACTTTCTCTCGGTGATCGATTTTAAAAATCTACTCAACAATGATGTTTTCGATGGAGCCTGACGCAGAGGCGGCGCCAAGAGTTTGCTGCTGCTTTCGCCCGTTAATATCGCTGTTATATTGCGCTTCTTCGATGGTGAAACTAAATGTCTACTACTTTTACGATCCTCTAGATCAGATGTTGTCACACTCTCCGCGTCCGACCAATCATTCGAATTAACATATTTCTTCGGATTTATCATCTGTGGCATTTCCACCTTGGATGGTGGATCCTCAATGATATTACCATACGCCTTTTCGACGATGTAAGCTTCCTGGGCCTCGTTCTCTTCCAATTCTATTTCCATTTTAGGCCTTAAACTCTTAGCCGGATCTTCCTGACCTTCTGGCGCTCCACGCTCCAATAACGATAAACCGCAACTGCACCTACAGTTGCGTTGACATGGCATGTCGATACACAGCTTCGATGATGCTTGCTTGTCAGTTCCATCGCTGTCGAACACGCTTGACGACGATGATGAAAATGAATAACAGTCCGAGTGCACATTCCTATCGGCATTAACATTCTTCTGCATATACGGTGAATCTCCGTGTGCGCACCAACTATATCTACCCTTTTGAGCATCTCTTTTTAGAACAGAACTGGGCAACAGGAAACTCATGGAGAAATCAGCATAGTTCTCGTCATCCTCTAATTTCATTGTTTTCAATATGTCTTCATGGAAGCTGACTCGCTTCTTACTTTCACCGCGCTTTTTCTTACGCTGTCTACGTTGTACTATAGCCTCCGAACTGGAGCAAGATAGAATGCTAGTATCGGTCATGTTGATTGTGTTCAGAATGCCGTAAGGAGCATCCATGTTATCACAGTCGGAGATTGTCATGCTCAACTCCAACAGATTTGTATCATTATTGATTAGATAAGAATTACGAGGATCTATGTTCTTCTTAAAACTGTAAGCGGGACTATCGTTATAATAAGTGTTCCTTTTGCTAAAGTCCTTTATACCGTTATCAATTTTATTCGTTTTTTCCGATTTTGCATCGTCAAGACTTCTACTGTAAAAATCATAGTCTTTAAGAGTCTCCAAACTAGAGCAATCCATTTCATTATCATCTAGTTTTCGCGTTACGTTCTGGTTAACTATATCATTTTTTGTCATCATGACAGTTTGGAATTTAGTAATCGCTGGTGATTGCATTGGCGTTTTACCATCTTCGCTGGAATCGCTAGATCCAAAATTCTTATTGTCTTCCATACGGTTGTTAATAATTGTCTTGTATCTATTATTCCGACATTTAGGAATATCATCCATCGAGTAGTCCTCCTGCAAAATTTATATATACACATTTATATATTCATTAAGCGAATATTAAAATTATTTTATGCAATTTCGAATCTGCATTTTACCTCTTTGTAACTGCTTCCATCAGTTTCGTTTGCAAGATCCATATCACTGTCAAATGCAACCCCACTGTCTCCTGGAGAAGCTAGACTTGATGAAATACTAGAAGATCTTAGATGCAACGATAAGACCGTTCCTGATGGATTTATGCTCATAGGCCTCTGTGGCATGTAGTTGCAAGTATCTAAATATGTCACATCCTATATACAACAATATTAATTTTACTAATCAGTATAATCATATGTTATCAATTAGATATTAATGTATCTAGCAACTTTAGATAACTCTGTAAATATCTTTTTTCTCTAGCAACACATTTGCAGAAATTTTCCATGAATAAACAGATTGAGCGATATATAGTTCATACCAAATAAAGTGTGTGTACTCAAATAAAATGATAACCTTTACAACCTTATATTATATAAAAAGATCTTTCTGTATACATAATTGTTATTCATTAGTGCGATAAATGTAACCGGGGGTGATATTAGTATCTGAGAGCAGAAGGAAACAGAAAAAGAATAAAAATTGCATAATGTGCTAAACACTTAGCAGAGAAAGCAAAAGAGACAAAAAGTTGATATTCTATACATTTCATAAAAATGCTACTATTTATTAAACACTTCCTATTTATAAATTATTTATCACATCAGTTTAACATACCAACTGCAATGTGAAGGACACATTTTCCAGACCGGCAAGAAGATTTACCAATTGGTTGGTTTTATCAGCATCTCTCACGAGTGCATGTGAAAAATATTGTTTTTTTAACGTCTTAGTATCTCGCAATAAACAACCAAGATAGCTCTCAAAACTGCCCTCACTTAGAGTGTGATAAAGCCATGCTCGACCTGTATAATATTAATAATAATTTAATATTAATAAGAAAAAGGTTACAACATATTCATTCTTAGATGCAATTAAGTTTTACCATTACACAAATATTGATTGTTAACTCTACACAAAGTTTGAAATTAGATTATTATAAAAATTTTCTTGAGTCAAATAATTTTATGCAAAATAACTATTTCTTATTACATAACACATGACTTAATTGTTTTAAATCATTAAAAAATCACTGCTTTAGAGCTATTAATTTAATGATAAGTTATATTAAATACATTTTGATGAATGAGAATTAACAAAAGAAAATTAGCAAAAAGCTAGAAATTGAGCATAGAAAATTGAGTAACAATTACTCTTATGACAAGACATTAATGCATACCTTTTCCAATGGAAGTTAATACACTCTGCAATGCATGAATGACCACAACAGTATCCTGATGACTAAGTTCTCTAGCAGTGCCCCAATATCCATGCCTTTCTACACGCAATCCATGACGCAATGCTCGGTCCAGCCAATAAACCAACCAGGAATCACCATCCAAGACCACAGTACCATAGAGACTTTGGGCATAAACCTGCTCAACATATGTATTACTCTCGTTGGAGTAAAAATGTATATAGCAAAATAGAAGCTTATTATAAATCAAAGCTTAAAAAATATGATTCAAAAAAATATACATAACTATGCAAATCTTCTATAAGCTTATCTCTTTGTTTTTCTTGAATGCAATATATCTACTCACACTATCATAATATACATAATATCTACGATATGCATAATATATATATCAACTTTTCTTTTTATATATTATTAAACATATATTTATAAGCAGAATCATATATATGAGATAAAATATACACATTAAGGATACACATTTATACTTTTATTTTCAAGCTAATACTTTGTATCTTTAATTAGAGCATTTATTTCACTTTCACTGATAGACATGTCCCAAGGTAATAATGTCAATTTTTTATCTGTCCTTTTCACAATGGCATTTTATATATATTTTTTGCGTTAAAAATGTATGTGTGAAATGAATATATAATCAATGATTGGAGTGAAAAAAGAAAAAGAGACAAAAGAAAGCACAGGATAAAGAGGACAGATTTATCAGCTGTTCTGTATGTAACGCGCATATGCGCGGCTGTCATCGAAATGTCAATGCAGTTAACTGATTTTAATGAAAGCAGCGGCTCACTTCTCGACAATATTAATTATCGCTGAGCAAATGCGAGACGAACAACATTCGTTTTCAACAAGAAATTCCACGTTTAAAGATTTATACAACGATCGAGCGTTCTTATGTGTGCAAACGTTCGGTTTCAAGACGCGTTGCGTCGCGATTAAACCACGATCAAGAGTTTGCAACGTCATACATATATATATATGTGTGTATATATATATAAAGTACATATAAAACTAACATATATATATATATATATATATATATATATATATATATATATATATAAAGCTGTACATTTATTTCTGACAATGAGAAAATACGATGATTAACAAAGATCGGAAATCGGTCAGTAAGCTCGGACTTTAATGCTATAGTCACGTAAAAGTCATTCATGAAACCGATAATTGACATAAAATACGCATCTTGTGTTTCTACAGCATCGGAGATTGAACTCATTTATATTATAACATTTTCAATCCCCTACATATAGGATATGTTTCTTTACGTTTTTATGTCATCTGAGATATAATTTGTCAGAACTATATCAGTTTCGAACATTGCTTCTAGTTGCGGAATACGTGCGGGAAAGGAAGGCAGGAAATGAGGCGTTGTACGAATCGTCACCAAATTGTCATCTTTCTTTTGGAGCCTATGAAAGCACATGCAGTTGCAGCTACAGTGACAGCTATACATGCGTTTATACAGAAAGCTATGGCCTTTCTTTAAGACGTTTTAATCGCTCACCAGTTTGACAGCTTTTGTGAGCTCCTGTAAGATCCTGCCCTTGGAGAGGACCTTGTCGGTGCAGAGTTCCATATCCTCGCGACCTGACGGCATCTCGTCACCACGCGTACTTACATGACTCGCGTCGCGACGAATAGTAGGAGCGGCTCGGCGCCGCGGGAGATCGTGTCCAAGCTTCTACGAATTAAGCCGGACCAAGCGGCGGTACCGACGACGACAACGCGATCGCTGCACGACGTAGTCGCGCTGTCGACGCTCATTGATTGATTTTAGTGGGGCGCAGGTCACCCGCGATTTTCAAGCCACAACTTGCCGGGCGATATATCGTGCTCTGTGTCTTTACATCGGCGTTCATCCTCTTTTATATAGACATCTATCTCTTTCGGGAGATGCAATAGAAACTTCTTTCTTTTCTCTTGCTTTCTTCCACTTTTCTCTATTTGTTTGTTCTTCTCATTTTCATTATTTGTATAATTTGTAAAAAATTGTTTTGTTTAAGCATAAATCTCAGATGCTAATCTATAGCATACACAAATGAAAAACATAAAGATTAATAGAAATCCTCTCATGTGAAGTTTATCATTATTTTAATTTGTAATCACTTACATTTTATTTTATTTTTTTGATGTTTATTCGCTATCAGGCCTTATTCACATACAGATACAGATACACGTGTTGCTGTCTTTTTTTGCTTAGAGATATGCTTGACATAAGGCAATCATACCCTGTTAATGAGATATTTGTGGGATTTTTATAATACTACTGAGGGAGATATCATATCGAATTGACAAATATTCTCCACATCAATCTTAACAAACTGCTTGCAAAATCTTAAGTTTTAGTTATGCTGAAATAAATTAGTTGTATACACTAGATTATATAAATTAATATAAATATAAATTATTTTAATAATACATAATATGTATCAACAATGAAATGTAAAAAGATATAAAAATTGATATTAAAAAAAATTTTTATTGTAATACTTTACTATTAATTCAAATTCATTTTGATTGACGATTAACGGTATCTCGATAACAATAATAAATAAAAATATTTTGTTATTTATACAAGTTAACAAATAACATGCTAACTATATATCATGTTTTTCTTTTAAGAGAGAAGCTTCGTTGATAAACATGTTGATAATTGATAAATCTAGTTATTTATTCGCATTAAATAATCAGAACTTTTAACAAGATCGACAATTCTCGCAGTTTAACGTGCATTCAAGTAGCATTAAAACTTATTATTCATTAAAACTTATCTACAAGCAATACCGCTCAAATAGTGATAAATGATACTGGCATCGGATCGTCCATTTATCTGCGTCAATGTTTGACCGAGGTTGTTGACAATCTACTCGCAATCCACAGAACTTTGATTAAATATATTGATTCCGTGGCTTTTAATCTTAAGAACGTTATTTTGACCTGAATGCCAAGGCCAGTTTTCCATTGACTATTATAAATATGGAAAAAACGTGGAGAATCTACAAAATAATTAACCTCTACATTATAAAGAAACAGTAGTAAAGAGAAGACAGTAATTTTTTCAAATATAAAAAGAAGAGAGGAACAATTATAAGATAAAAAAATGATATTAACAAGTTAAAACTAGAAAAAAATACTTTTTCCTTTTCCTTTCCTTTTTCTTTAATACATTTTGGATTTAAAATGTCTAGGATCTGTTAAAATTCGACTTTTTATCTAATTAGAGTTATTTTTTTGCTTTAAATTTCTTTATCGATCGATGTTTATAGTTCGTTTACTTTTTGTATCACAGATGGCACAATTTGTAATAATATTAAAAATGTAATTTTACGAAATTCTAAAGAAGAAATAAAAAATCATAGAAAGATATAATGTTATTTTAATATTTTTATACATTTATAGAAAATCAACACATATTTATTTTCACATTATTTTGACATTTCACATTTTTTTAAATTTTGATAACATTTCCTATAAATTTTCGTGAGAATTATTTTAATTCTTCTCTCATTCAAGTATGTTGTATGAAAATTAAGATATCACTGTCTAAAAAATTTATTTTTAATTATATTCACATATTTTTTGTCAATACTCTAATATTATGAAAAAATATCTTGTGCTATTAAATTATAAAAGATTGTTAAAGCCTATCTATATAATAGACAATGAGTTTTTATGATCTAAATCATGGTTACAAGTTTAATTTTGTCGGTCTTTTGTGGGACCTGCTTGATCTGCTCTATTTTTACTTTCGCGATAGCTGCTTGAATTCGAATGTGGATATTTGTCAGAAGTGTACTTGAATTTTGTCTTCGATTTACCCTTAGAGCTCCGTACGCATTGTACAATCTCCTCAATGCATTTTTTATCCTTTTCGCTAATGCTACAACTTACATCGCCGACCACGTGCTCTTGGAGTTCTCTAAAATTGTAATAAGCTTCTTAAAATCCTGTATTACTACATTTAAAATTAAGTATTCTTAGGAATTCTTACAAAAATTTTTTAAAAATCATTTTTTAGAAAACTTATAATTTTTTTTTAGAAAATTTATAATTAATCATTTAATCAAGATGTCAATTTGTAAGATTTGATACGAAAAATCAGATTATGCAATTTTATTATTAAATACGCGTGTTTTTTTTTATTTGCGTAGATTATAAATTAAGTAGTTATTTTGATAAAAAATAGACAGTGAAGATAAATTCTCAGGCAAATGTTTCCAATTAACTCTTTAAATACGGATATTCATACTCGTATATATTTATACTTATCGTCTATTAACAGCAGCCGAATTTAAAGGATTAACATATATTATTACTTTTGCTAAAATAAATACATTTTATAAGCATGCATTGTGACATTATTTTTAAATTGTTTCATATGGAGAAAAATTTCGCGCCTTTATAAAACATGAGAAGAAACGCTGCACGTCATCATACGTATGACATACGTCACGATATGTCGTGGCAATTTCACGAGCAATCTCGCGACAGGTTGGAATCGCGACAGATGTATGTTTCGATGTATAAATAATCCGATATATGTATTTTTGGCTTTACTTGAACGTCATCCGAACATCACGAAAGAGTTCAGCTATCGAAAATATGAAGAGCATAAACGAGAGAATAAATGGTGGATCACTGCAACGAATTAATCAAACAATCTCCGCATTATGCAGAATATATGTACATGCATGTATGTATATATTTATATAGAAATGATAAATTACACGAAAAAGATCTTTTGTCCAAAAGTCAAAGAAAAAACTGCTAATTAACCGAGAAGTCAATTTGTCAAAAATTTGATACGGAAATTAGATTCTACAATTTTCCAATAAATATCCGTGTATGTAGATTATAAATTGATTAAATAATTATTGTGATAAAGCAGATATTGCAGACACAAAATTCTAAAAATCAAATATTCTCTCCGTTAAAATTTATTATATTATTTGTAAGAATTTTTATTGTGTAATTATTTTTAAATTATCTTATGAGGAGAAAAATTTCGCGCCTTTATTATAAAGCGCGGGAAGAAAGGTGTACGTCATCGCGATGTCACAATTTCGTAGACAATTTCACGGCACTTTGGAGTGAACCGTGATAGTTTCGCGATCGCGCTTTGTCGTACAAATAACTTATCAATATGTATATTTGACATTTTCAGTTATCCGATTAGCATCACAAGTGAATTCAGTTGGAGAGTGTAAGAAGTATGAAGAGTATAAACGATAGATCGACGAATAAACGATGAATTTCAAGGCAAGTAACCTCTATATATTACAGTATGCAGAATGCATATGTATATATTCGTATAGAAATAACAAGTTAAAGAATAAAAAAGAAAATCAATTATTCAGGAACCGTACGAGACTTTTAATTAATCCTTTAATCAAGATATCTTTTAATCAATTTTCGTAAGATTTGACACGAAAAGATTATATAATCTTGTATCAAGTACGTGTGTATTTGCTCTTTTATTTGAGTAAATTATAAGTTAATTAAACAGCTGTTTTGATAAAACAGACATATTATTATAAATGTAAAGCTTTTAATCAAAGCATTATTATTATTCGAAAGATCGAATATCAATTTATTGTGTTTATCATTATTTTTAAACAGTTCCATGGAGAGAAAAATTTGGCGCCCTTTGCCTAAAGCGCGGGAAGAACACTGCACGTCATCGTTACGTATGACATACGTCACGATATCTCGCGGTAATTTCGCGAATAACCTTCTGGTGCTTCGTGGGACGGAACTGCGATAGTAAATAATCCATCAATATGTTTGGCATTATTTGCATTGTCCGACCAGCATGCACTCATGTGAGTGCATTGAATGAATTCAGCCGGGAATATCAGAGAACGGATCATTGCAACGAATTAATCAAGGTAAATAATTTGCGCGTTTAATTATCACGATTCTAATCATGTTTATGAATGTTACATCGCAAGTTTTTTGTAGTGAAAATTGCGAGCATAATCGCTATGTCTATTTTTTCGATCAATTGCAGCATTGTGATTCTGAACATTTATAAAAATATCTTACAGTTTTCATTGTGAGTGTAATATATTACGTGCATAATGAAGTCAGTGCTATGTCTCTCGATAATAAACGATTTTAAAATGCTAACGGTTATTATTAATGAAATAAATATAGTTAAACAGAGCTCACTTTTGATGTCGATGCAATTTTGCAATTAATTTATTCAGATACAGCGTTTCTTTCTGCATCGCCTTTAGTTCCGATTCTTTCTCCTGGAAATAAAAAGTCGCTGATACATAATAAACATTATTTCTTGCCTTAATTAAAATAATAATTTTAATAATTATTAATTGCAAATGTTTTAATATGTCTAAATTGTTTGTATTGGTTGCATATCAAGTCAAATGTTGCAATTGATATTATAATAATTAATATCATATTATAGTAAAATTTTCAATATATGATATTTTCAAATATGCATAGGATTATTAGTGACGACATTGTATTTTATACATATATGCAATACAAGTATCTCTTCTAATAATTGAAATAAAATAATAATATTATCTAAATTATAAATAAGAATATTTTATCATAAGAGATCTATTTTGCGTGTATAGGTAGATTTGTAGAAACACTTATTAATACCAACAATTTTACAAAATGTTTAATATTTAATAATTTGCCCTTCTGGATTCCGTTTTGTCATGCTGGTTTAACATATGATACATTAGCTTAACATTATGAAATTTAATTTTCATTGTTTACTAAGTTTGTTTTCTATTACCGTTAAAGCCTTTGTAATGGCGCAAAGTTCGTCCTGGCGAGTTTCGCAAAGATGACGTGTAGTGATCATTTCCGCGGTTAGCCGTGCTAATTGCTGTCGGAAATTCCGCTCGCGCTCTGTTGCTTTATCCCAGGCTTCTTCTCGAACAATTATAGCATCTCTCAAAGTTTGCATATCCCTCTCCAGTAACTCAAATTCTGATCTACTCCATTAGCAGTATGAATACAGGTAATT